AGAGCCAATCGCTCGATACGAGTGCCCGTCTTAATGGGCCAGAAGTCAAAGTTTGGTTGAGAGCCCGTCATGTTTGAGAAGGGGATCAATGGTAGTCTTCCCTGAAGGTATGCCACGTCTTCCCACCACTGCTCCAACTGATCGCACAATCAATTCATTCAGACATTAGTTACAGACATTCAAAGGCATGTCAATCTGACAATCAATTACCCAATTCTTGTGCAGTTCCGAGCGTTTGATAAGCATTTTCTGGAGATCAACGCCCACCTCATTCTCGAAGTTCCTGCAGATGGTCTCTGTTATCTTGTATTCCTCGTCAGTCACCACTGGGCGCACGGTCTCCAAGTAGTGATCTAAAGTAGACCGTAGTGGCGGCACCGGCAGGGATGGTAGGCTGTCCTCGTTCTCGAAGGTCTTATTGGTGGTCGACCTGAACACGGCATCCCTTCCCACCACTTTGGAGGTGAGAGACTCCGGTAGGTATTGCAGGATTCCTGATAAGAAATTCATCACTTTCTTAATGCACTTGTATTTTAAGGTTTTCAAACACTTGTGCACGTATTGAATGACAATTATGAAATGTGTCAGTAGAAATTTCATGTAATTTGGTACAAAATTTAGTCACGAAATACAATTTACTTGATCAAAGACTTTACTGATAGTGTATTTTTAGAGACTGTTTGTTATTTCAGTGCAATTTATTCACTCATTTCTATTCCCATCGCATAAACTCTGCTCTCGTTTAGCGCTTAGAGTAAACTGTTTATCGATTTCTATAAATTAGACCAAAATTTTTATTTTTGAATAATTTTTTATTTTTATATTTATATTTCTGGAAGATGGGTCACTCATTTGAGAGATATTTATATTTAGCTCATAAAAATGTTTTACAAATGGGGGTCTAAAGGGGTATTTAAAATTAGTTGATACGTTTTTAAAATAAGTTTTATCAATTGTAAAATATATTGTCCTTTTACAAGAGCAAATAATCCCAATAACAAGTTTTAATTATCCTTTAAATGTTTTTCATAACTTTTTCCTTAAAAATATTTATTAAGTAATTAATAATTGATGAATATAGATGTAAATAATAAATATACATCAGTAATCAATAACACATTTTATCACATGAGATGTTGATTTCGTAATCGATTTAATTATACTAATTGTTGTGAAATTAACCAGTACAGTAATGGATATAGAGGTAGAAATCTTACAATGTAAGACATTATACAATAAAGTACTATTGTTTTGTCAAACATTGTATAAACATTTAGGGTTTTTGAATTAATAATAGAGGGAAAGAATATTAAGGATATTTAAATATTCAACCGTTTGACATGAAATTAATTTTTTAAATTAATGCAAAACTTAGAAATATATAAATAGGCTTTTGTTTCAAATACAGTGTATTAATTTTTAATAAAGATTGAATTACAATAACAACTTTTGTTTCTAATATAATTAAAAACAAAGTATTCACTAATGAGATCAGGTTCATTTAAAATATTTATTAAAACTTCAGATACACTAAAAAATAAATTTAATTAAATGCATAAATTCTCGCATCAATTTAAATTTAACTAGATAAGCTATGATTGGCAGTAAAGTCTCATTTTATCAGTTCCCCAACAATTTTATCTCAATATGCCTTCTCAAAATCTCACCAAAACATTGTGTCTTTGGTGAAAACTCAGATCTTAAATATTTATTTTTATTTAAAATGTTTACCTAAGAGATTTGTGTTTATTTTGGTTTATATATATATGCCGTCGGGAAATCTATTGTTTCATTGCATGCGTGAGTTCATTATGTAATATTAACAAACTTGTAACTTATTGTCACAATCAATGGTTTCAATAATAATCATGTTGTATTTGCCTCCCAATAGGGCCTATGCTTTAGTATTTTCAATCCGACTCTCATTGACTTAAAAGATATATTTCATACAACACTACAGAAAGCATCGCTGGCTTTCCCAATAAGATCTGCGGGTTATGTAATCGGGTCGCTATCATGTGAGTCCATACCATACATATACATACACTTTCACTTCATATCTCAATTTGTTGCCCGAAAACCTGTACTCTATTTATGACTTTCTTATCGAGTAATCTCGGTTTTTTGGGACAGTTTTTTACCTTAAGATTTCATGTTTATCATAAACTCGTAATAATTCTATTAATAGTCGACAGAAAAGTTTTTATAAATAGAAAATCAAGTTTTTCGTTGAGAGCACTCAACTTGTGTTATAAGTTATAACTTATAACTAACTTAACCAAACACTTGCCAAACAATTGTGAATTTCAATTATTTATCTTATACTTCACACAATATTAAATATTAGTTTGTATTTACTAATAATATAAACTATAAATAAAAGTTATACCGTACAAATTAGTATATTTATTAAGAATGTCGAGGGCATTTAATATTTTTTAAAAATTAAATCATAAGAATTCTTATAACATTACAATAAATAATCTCTAAGAATAGTGTTGGTAAATATAATAAAAGTTAAATGATAAATTATTTTAATAATGTGTTTTACTAGTGGAATAAAAATAAATAAACAAATTGTAAAGAATTGATAATTTAATGACATATTGAACGTCATAAATAGCATTGAAATATAATAATAATACATATTCTCATCGATAGGAATATCCTATGAAAAGCTATACCAGTATTCAATACATTCATTGTATTCATCACATGATTATCAATAGAAACCTTGTTTTCAGGTTTTAATATTCAAAATAAGCTCATAATAAATGCATTGATAATTAAAAATATTCAAATTTATAAAAAATAGGTTTTTGGATGTCATTCAATATTTAGAAATATAGTAATAGATATAAGATATGAAAAATTATATAATAAGTCTAAAGTAAAATAAACATCGGTTCAGACCTGTAATGAGTCGTTGTCTCCAATTAATGTTTGCATTATTTTTCTTGTTATCCATTTGTGTCACAAATATCTGATTGAAAGCCGTATTATTGTGTTGTCAGGCTAAATATAACCAATTGATAGAAATAAATATATATTTAATTAGCAAGTCAAAGTCGAATGAAATGCAATACAATACAAAAACTCAATGCAACCTAATATATATGACAAGAAATGTGTTACAAAGTCTGCGAATGCAATGTTTATGAGTACGAGAAACCGAGTGAATGGATGCAAAAAGTAGGAGATTTTGATTCAAAAATTCCCAATACATTGGATTTAGGGAAACAAGAATTCATGGAAATTGAAAACTTGTCAAACAAGTGGTGCTTTGAAAATAGCATTAGGAGAACACACTTACAGCCGGCCTATCGATGAATGACTACTACTGTACTCTCAGTTTGTATGCAAACATTAATGTGTACTCAAAATCCTGTTGAAAAACATGACTGTGACTGTGATGGGTACTTTTCTAATTGTCTTTAGAAGGACACAATTAGAGAATACTATACAGTACTTTCATACAGTAGTTGCTTGAGGGAAAGGGTGTTTATAAATAATATTATATATTAATAGCAATATTGTAACATAATATTTACCTGATGTTTTGTTAATGAATACCAAATAATATTTATGATGTATGATATTAATTATTTATAATGGATACTCGTTTAAAGTACAGAAAACATATAGATATCTATCAATCGAGAACCTATGGCTTCAATTGAGTGAAATATTTCGTGTGAATTAACTTTTGTTTGCAATCCGTTTAAAAGCCGAAAAAATTGAAGACTTTAGCCGACAGATTAGATGCACCACAGATTTCAATGTTTAGACATACGACAAACTTTTAACCCTTCATACTTTCAGTGCTTTATATCGATAATAGATTATATAATTCAATAAACAATTCATTAATTGTAAATTTTATACTCAGAAAACGTTTAAACCATTCCTCCCGAGTTTAGGGCTGTAACAGTCCAAAGGTTTAATGATATTCACATAGATATCAATCGTAGATATTATTGAATAATATTATATACAGTATAAAGCAATGTTTTATAACAAATGGAAATAAACAGAAAAATGTTAAACAAGAAATATAAAAAAATATTTCCAATCCAAATAGTATAGTAATTGTTATGACTTTGACATATAAGGCATAATTTGATATTAAACTACTTTATGTATAAATTAAGGATACGAGCAATGAATGCGTGAAACAAATTAAAACAACCATTACTTGACATTAAATACATAACTGCATATCCGTAACACTTAATTAATACTGAATGGCATTACAGGCGGTGTCGTCACCACTATATTCAACCGGCAATTGGTATTAATAATTGTATTACTGCTGAAGTCGTGCACAATAGCGTCTGTCCCGCACTGGCATAACGTCTACCAATTCTACGGCAATGCTGTGGCAAACGGTTTCTTCACAGCGGGAATCGACACAACTGTTAACGTGTGGGTCAACGAAATGTGGGGCACAGATGGGGGACCTTATATGCAAGCCTTGCACTTCTTTTTCGGCATCGGATCCATATTGGGTCCCATTCTCTCCGAGCCATACCTTTCGCCTAAAAACGGCACCCAATTTCATGACACTTATAGTAATCACACGAATAGTACATTTGAAAGCCAACTCTGGATCCCTTACTCTATATCGGCGATGACTGCCGTCGTATCGGCCCTTATATTCTTAGCCTTATTTATAACAAACCGCTATAAAGTACAACAAAATAGTGATACTCAAGACTCGGAGGAATCGCAACAACTAGTCTCTGAAGAGACACCAAACTCAAGGCTAGCATTTAAATGTTTTGATGGCACGACACTATGGATGATCGCTATCTGCGGGGTATTTCTGGTGGTCTACGCGGGACAGGAAACTGCATTCTTCCAGTTCTCGGCATCATTTGCCACACAAACAGATCTTCACTTATCGAAAACGACGGCCGCATTCATGGCCTCAGCGCTCGCCCTATCGTTCACTATAACCCGAGCGCTCAGTATATTAATAGCCCTTAAGATTAGGCCCCAATTCATGATATATATCGACGTTTTAGTCATATTTACGGCTGAAGTAATCATTTATATTTACGCTAATACTAACGAGAACTACCTCTGGTTCGGTAATATCCTGATGGGAGTCGGTTTCGCCTCAATCTTCCCCTCCTTTTACCCTTTCATTGAGAAAAATCTAAAGATAACAAACATAATCAGCTCTATGTTTATATTCTGTACCGGACTGTCCTCCTGTGTCTGTCCACTGATTGTCGGCTTATATATCGAGTCCAATCCCTATATGTTAATATATTTGTGTTTCACATCAACTATACTAACGATTGTCGCACTAATTGTATTGCATTTAACTGTTAGGTTGCGGACAACCACTCAAATCACAAACACACAGCAAAACGAGACTCAGGAATAGTTATACAAAATATTGCATTTAATACAAATTCAGTACAAAATGACAAAACAAAAACAAGTTTTAAATAGGATTTCCAATTAATATTTTATATAAATAATTATTATATTAGGAATTATATTGAAAAGAAAATTTCGTAAGAAATTAATTTGTGTAATAAATTTAACAAGTGTTTTATTTATGGTAAATAACAAGAATAATTTATGATTAAAAATATATATATATGCAATTGTGTCTAAATTTGAATGCTTATCACATTTGTGTTGATTAAATATGAGATTATTTTTATTTTACTTATTCAGATGTACTCAATGTGTAAATATCTGTTACTATTGTTATGCAGACATAGAGAATATGCAAAGAATTGTATTCACAACAGAACATTGATTTCAAACACCAAATAAAAGCTTTTCTAAATTGAATCATATATTTATCACTTCTTTTACAGTAAATATTTGTATCACATTTCAGACAACAAATGTAAGCATTAGTTATATAAATACAATATGTCATAATTGCTATATTTAATAGAAATCAGAATAAGTTTTGATTTGTTTTCAGTTTTAATCGCCAGTAAACACAATAAAGTCTGTGTTTATTAAATTTTGTATGAACTATAGAAAAATGAAATAAAAATAACTAAACTCCTGTCTATAACACGAATTATCTAACAAATTGAGTAGGAATTGCTATAGAGATTCACATGAGTTGTCAAAATTCAAATATTGACTTCAATGAGAACTTTGACCACTATTTCGATATAATTTAATCAATGCAATCATATTGAGTACAATAAAGTTAAGCAATAATTGGACTTGGATTGCATTTAGTGTTTATATTTTCCAATCGTATGTTTTCAAGGAACTACAAGTTTTATTTGTAGTGATTATACATCGGGTGATCCTATTATCAACTCATAAAATCTGTTATTACAAAAAAATACACTCAATTATCTTAGACGGGAACGGGTTATAGACAAGACTTTAGACTTTCCTAACTGTTTGACAACCAAAACAATAAATTTATCACAAACTTTGGATTCATTTCGATTCACTCATCCAAATCTTTTGGGAATATTTTCAATGATATTCTTAAACATAAATTTTAATAACTATTGTATTTTTTTGTGAGTAAAACATATGGGAAATTTTAAAGACACTAATTTTATATTTTAAGACTTTAAAACATATTAAACATCAAAAAACTTTAAACAATAGATATCAAAAGTTGATGAAAAATAAATTGCATAAAAAATAGAAAAAATAACTTATTTGTACCCTAAAAGAAATGTCTAAAACTAACGAATGTTTTACGAGAAATTTCAAACAAAAACTTATCAAAGATTGTGTTGAAGTGCTTTTGAGTCAGACTTTTGCGAATCCAATATATTTCGCATTTCGTGCAACGATTGCCTCAAATTCTGGTAAAACAATTGAGCGCTCGTTTCGGGGCACGACTTGAAGGCACAGACACTGAAGGAGTACTGGTTATTCTCGATGCCATAAAATATGCTATAGCCGTCCTCTCGCATCGGTGGCACACCTCCGCACGACCGCCAATAGCCCGCACAACTGGTCGACAGTAAATAAGTGCCGTTACCTCCCGTCTCCATAAACGATGGGTCCGTAAAAAATTCTGGCAGTTCTACGCCATTATCTAATGATGTTATGTATAAACCGAGGAAATGCCGATCACATCCTTGACCTGAATAACAGTATTAGCTATTAAATCATAAGACACCACCAAATCATAAATATTTGACACAACCTTTGCAAGCATTTGCCATACTTTGTTGAAATTTTTGTGTTGCTTTCACTAATAACTCAAACAAATCGCTATTCTATGAAAGAGAGACAAAACATTAGCCAACATTAAAAATATTTATAAAATAAAATTTAAATACAGTTTTGTTTCCATCGATAACGGCTTTTGCGAACTCCACAGCTTCTGGAGTACAGGAACGACAGGTTTCGGTGCGGCCCTTGTAATAGCGTCGTGTGGTTGCCGTACAATAGGCGGGCGCCGGCTTCCCATGCATTCGCATATAAGTCAACTGCACAGCGATCTGAACGTAGGCCTCGGGATGGAGACGATGTTTGGCCGATAGGCTTCTGCCGTAGTCTTTGAACAAATTGTGCACAAACTCTATGCCATCGCACGTCTGTCTGAAGGTTTGTTTCGCGGCTTCGATCTCAGTCTTCAGTTTGTCATCGATTTTAAAGTCCAAAAGAGTGGGCGTCGGGAGTGTGCGGACACGTATAGGACCGAAGTATTCGCCTTTACTTTCATAGACCGATAGATTGAGGTATTGAGACATTATAGCCAATGCCAGCGCATCAAACGGTGTGTGCTATCAATAAATGAGTGATAATTATTAGCAATCAATGGATCAGCTCTTAGGCAATAGGTTTACGTCTGCGTTGGCGACACTCATCCCGTTTTTGAAGGTTATGTTTGTAAGCGACTTATCGGCCCAACGGTCCGCACCATTACCGCACATTCCCTCGTAACAGACCTACGAATACATGAATGAAAGCATTATTACAATTAAATTCAAAGTTTCCTTAATTTATGCCATTTTATAAGTAATTTAAATGTCAACAACTTTGGCAGAAATAATTTACATGAATGCAAATTAACTTCAAAAATCCATAAACAGTATAAAATTCATATAAATTTATAGAATAAATAAATAATAACTTCTTCGTGAGTGATCGGCTCCTTATCGTCTAACACAGCGACAGTCAATGCATTTTCAATGAGTTGTAAGTATTTTTCGTTTTCGGGACTTATTTCTAGTAAATGTTTGCGATTTAGAGCCCATTTGGTTCTGTCGGTGGTGGTGAGCGCACCCACACCCGGACCGCAATGACTTTGATTTAGACACCAGTTCTCTATATATTGCAGTTGTTTCTCGAAATTTCTAGTAAATGTTTGCGATTTAGAGCCCATTTGGTTCTGTCGGTGGTGGTGAGCGCACCCACACCCGGACCGCAATGGCTTTGATTTAGACACCAGTTCTCTATATATTGCAGTTGTTTCTCGATCTCAGGAGCTGTCAAAAACTGGTCGTTCACTACATAATCAAATGCAAAGATATATCCTCTGTAGAGAACTATGGAAGTGGTCGCAGCCATCGGTCCCTCACTCTCTACGCCAATCGTAAAATAATTAAAATTCAATCATAAGTTATAAATCACAAAATTATTTACGGAAAACATACCGGTTTTAAACGTATTAATAAGAGTGTCCTTTTCGGGGCCGGGTATCCGACATGTATTAAACAAATACCTAAACTGATCCATCGACCAGACATTGCCCTTAATTTTAGTCACTTTTAATTGTTCCCTGGATTATAGACAAAAACGTTTATACCATTAATAAGTAAAACAAAAAACTTTTTACTACAAGAATATTACTTTCTTAAGAGCTGATAAAACTCGAGAGTATAGTGTCCGGTGAGGGCAGCCCTCTGCAGACGTGTGCCAGTCTTCGGGGGCCAGAAGTCGAAGCCGTTTGGATACGTGAGTCCAGTGATGTTGGAGAAGGGAATCAGTGGTGATCTCTGCATGAGATACGCGTAATCTAACCACCAATGGGTTAACTAAACATAACATATCATGCAAATCGGTGTCAATTTGGTGGACAAAGTGTTTTTTGCGGACAATCCGTGTGTCCAATGAGTACCCAATTCTTGGCATTTTGTGTCCTCTTCTCAAACAGTCGCTGAAGAGTGAGTCCGACGCCCGTCTGGAAGCGATGGCAGATCTCGCGAGTTGTCTCATACTGTTGTCCGCCAGCGATGGCCCGAACGGACTCCAGATAGCAGTCCAGTGTCTGGTCGAGTGTCGGCACCGGGAGGGCTGGCAGTGACTCCTCATTGCTGAATGTCTTGTCTTTCGTCGATTTGAATAGACTTTCCTTAAGACTCATTATTATCACAACTGTGGTAGTGATCGATGGATCAGATATTAGTTAATGGTTATGAGGAATGGGAGGAATGGGAGGAAAGGCGAGGCAATTGGTGTCAATGGCTTTCACGACACTATCCTCTCAATGAAATCAATGAAAAAATATTTTTCACAGACTTTTGACTTGTTTTTGGTCTCAAAACGAGTGATAAATAGCTCACAAATAAACTGATATTTTCTTATCAATTGATTATTGAATTAAATAAATAAATATAAACTCAATAAGAGATTGATTACAATATACTGCATGCTATGTATTAATTGCAAACTTATATATTAATTAATAAATGGACACAAAATTACCTGGAAATGAGAGTCCAGTGATGTTGGAGAAGGGAATCAGTGGTGATCTCTGCATGAGATACGCGTAATCTAACCACCAATGGGTTAACTAAACATAACATATCATGCAAATCGGTGTCAATTTGGTGGACAAAGTGCTTTTTGCGGACAATCCGTGTGTCCAATGAATACCCAATTCTTGGCATTTTGTGTCCGCTTCTCAAACAGTCGCTGAAGAGTGAGTCCGACGCCCGTCTGGAAGCGATGGCAGATCTCTTGAGTTGTCTTATACTGTTGTTCGCCAGCGATGGCCCGAACGGACTCCAGATAGCAGTCCAGTGTCTGGTCGAGTGTCGGCACCGGGAGGGCTGGCAATGACTCCTCATTGCTGAATGTCTTGTCTTTCGTCGATTTGAATAGACTTTCCTTAAGACTCATTATTATCACAACTGTGGTAGCGATCGATGGATGAGATATTAGTTAATGGTTATGAGGAATGGGAGGAAAGGCGAGGCAATTGGTGTCAATGGCTTTCACGACACTATCCTCTCATAAAATCAATGAAAACATATTTTTCACAGACTTTTGACTTGTTTTTGGTCTCAAAACGAGTGATAAATAGCTCACAAATAAACTGATATTTTCTTATCCATTGATTATTGAATTAAATAAATAAATATAAACTCAATAAGAGATTGATTACAATATACTGCATGCTATGTATTAATTGCAAACTTATATATTAATTAATAAATGGACACAAAATTACCTGGAAATG